CGATCTCCGGTGACCACCAGTAGACCTGGTGCCTCGCAGTATTGGGCTGAGCCCTAGGCATCGCCGCATCGCAGACGCGGGTCATGGCCTCCCGGAACCACTGTGCCTCAGCATCGACGTCGTCAGGCCTGTCCGGCGCAGGAGCCCAGGCCTGTACGATGGCGGCTTCCTGGAGGAGGTCGCGATCTAAGCGCTTGAGCGCCCAACGTGGTTCAGGTGGTGCCGGTCTGACCGGCGCGCCATCTGTAGGGGCAGAGACGTCAAACCGAATATATCGGTGATCCGAACCTGTCTCCTCCCCGACAAGGACCCGCCAGCCCTGTACACGACGCGCTAGCGAGGGGCATGCGAACGAGATGTCCACGATCGAACTACCCCTCGCCGTCACGAACGTGGCCACGGCCCCCCGGTTTAGGAGAACTAGGCCGAATCTTTCAGCCCAGTTCTCCAATGCCCTGCCCCTCGGGTTCGTGCGCAGGGAACCCCAAGCCTGCGACCAAGCGTTGAAGTCCCCCAGCACAAGAACCGGGTGGGGGCGACAGGCATCGACGACGACGGCCAGCTGAGCGAGCCATTGCTCGTACTCAGTTAGGTTTCGGTTCGGCGTGAAATAAGCGGCCATGACCGCTATATCCCCAACTATCGCCGCTACACAGCCCCGTCCCCTTGCAACTACTGCAAGAGGTGGAGTGCCGGCTGCGGTACCGTGCACCAGGGCCGCCTACGTTCACCTAGAGGATGCGGAGATGTGGATCCATCACTTCTTCGGGGACTTCCATCCCCGCATCCCGCAGCGAACTTTGCTGCTGTCCAGCGGCACTCCCCGTCTGGATCAGCGGGCCGGAGGCGGAAGGTCGGCCTCCCGGCTTCAGTCCTGATAGGGCACAGGCCTTACCACAAACCCGGTGGTCGGCAGGCTTGCCCCCCGCTGCGCACCTAAAGCAACGCAGCGGAGCATTGCAGCCACCCGCCTTGTGACCGGGCTGGCCACAGCGGAAGCATCGGTCACCTACGGTGGCCTCCGCCGTGCAGTGCACCCCTACGTGCCCCACCGACAGGCACCTGAAGCACCTTGCCGGTCGGGCTTGCAGGAGTCGTGCCTGCGCCCTCAGAAAACCTCCGACCAGGAGGCTCCGTCCATCGGCGACCTTCTGGCGGCCTTCCGCCTCTTCTTGCTCTCCCCGGCCACCGTCCAGTCCCGCTCCAACGGGCGCTGTGCGGTGTCAGCCGGGGCCGAGACTAGGGCTTGGGTTGGGGCCGCCTTCCCCCTCCCTTTGCCCTTTCCTTCCTTCTGGGGCGGGGGCGCTGATGACGGCCCAGCCACCCTAGCTGCTGACTGGGCTGTTAGGCCCGCCCTTGCAGCGGCCGCGTATGTCGCCCTTGGCGGAGCCAGAGGTGGGCGACAACGGGCGCTCTCTATTACGGAGATGCGCCTCATTATCCGCTCCTCCATCTCCGCCATGAGTCGGACTAACTCCGGCTCCTTACGGGCGGACAGCGCCAACGGCGCCGAAGACGCTGGTGTGGCACCAGCGTGGGCACGAGCCCTGGCGAGATCCGCCTCGAGGCGGGCCCTCTCCCTAACGTGGGCCTTGCTCTCGGCCACAAGGAGTCTGCCCGCCTCGATTATGGAGCGCACGACCGCTACCAGGGCCTCCTGTTGGGGGCCCCCGGCCACCCCGGACGTCTGAAGCAAGCAATCGGCCGCGCCGATTGCCTCCTCAATCCGGTCGACGGGGTTGCCGGTTTCATCGAGGCCAGCACCCCCACCCCCGCTCCCCACATCAGTGGTCGACCTCTCGGACGCGACCCCCTCCTGTCTTCTCCGTCTCAGACCCTCATTTTCGGCTCCTCCCAGCGCCGCGGACTGGACCGCCACCTTCCTTTGGGCCACCCTGATTTTGGGGAGTCGGCCTCCGCCGCGAGCGCCTCTGCGGCTTGTGCCGACTTTGGGAGCCGTGGCTTCATCGCTCGAGGCCGACTCCAATTGCCTCTTAACAATATTTCAAATTCAAATTCAAATTCATTTATTTGCAGAATGTAGTACATACAACAGATGTCAATAATTACAATACTGGTTCAGTACATTCTACCATGACAATGGTGTGCAAAAGGTGTCATAAAGTGCTGCACTAGCAGCTCACAGTCCATACTAGGTCAATTTTATTATTAAAAGTTCTTCTATACCATATGCACGAATTTATAGAATAAGTGAGACAATAAATAAAGATTTGTCAATAAAATCATGTCAGCTTTGAATATTATTATGAATTAAAGTAATTATATTATATTGTATATTAAAATTGAAATTAAGTGATAAAAAAAATAGTAAATATTTGTATAGGGCGGATCGCAATTATGTAAATGTTATGTTGAGGTAGGTTCCAAATATTCTTTGACTGAGTAGAAACATTTTTGTGTGAGATAAAGTTTAATTTTTTTTTGGAAAAGTAGTGGTTTTCTTTCGTTTTTAATAACGTCTGGTAGCTTGTTAAATATTTTAACTGCCATATAGTATGGGCTTTCGTTCAACATTTTTATTCTTGACGGAGGAAGGTAAAGCCTATTTTTGTGCCGGGTGTTTATGGTGTGGGTGTCTTTTACTTTTGTAAAGGCATCAATATTTTTGAACACAAATACGCATATGTCGAGTATATATATCGAGGGCAGAGTTAAAAGTTGAAATTTTTTTAAAAATGGTTTACAACTCTCCGTGTTATTAATTTGGGCTAGGATTCTTATACATTTCTTTTGCATTATGAATAGTTCACCGCTGTTAACGCTATTTCCCCATAGCATGATGCCATATCGGAGCCACGAGTATGCATACGCGTAGTAAGCAGACAAAGCTGTCTGTGTGTTAGTAGATCGTTTAATTTGAAGAAGGGCGTAAGAAAATCTAGAAAGTTTTGATTTAATGTGCTCGATGTGTGATTTCCAATTCATATGTGTGTCTATTTTCATCCCAAGTAATGTAAATGTCTCAACTTCTTCTAAACGTGTGTTTCTGTACATTATGTTCAATTTTAAAGGAGATTTTTTATAAGATCTGAATTGTATTATTTTTGTTTTAGTTGAATTTATTTCTATTTAAACAAATATTTACAACGCAGGACACCAGCACTGCAAAAAGACGGAAAACTTGACACAAACCCTATACCAACCCGCCTGGCCAGCGTGGTATAGTAGGCCAAAACCTTCTTTCTAAGAAGAGGCCTATGTATCAGATTGACAACACATTCTGAGATATTAAGTTAAATAACCAATCCTTTTTGTTTGGAATGAATGTTATTACATTAATTATATTTTGTATTTTCATGCGATTTTTGGATCGATCTTTAGAGAATGGAACCAAATCGGATCTACACATTACGATCCATTACGATCTATAAAATCAAATAGCTTAAAAAAAGCTCACCTACTTTGCAAACAAGTAGTTGGACAGTGCAGTGACATGAATAATAAATATTATTACATTGATATTACTAACCCTATTACTTTAATAGTGTAGAACATTAACAATGATCGGAATACTGGCATAGCTAAGGGACGCGGTGCAAAAGTGATTTTATTACAAGAAACTTTGACATGCGGGCAACATTGACGCTGATGTCATTGTAATATGTCAGTGATGTTGCTCTGTGACTGAAAATTAGTTTTGCCTTCTTCTAACTCTTTTGTAACTACGTTGGTTTTTTAGTCCGAGTAAATTTGATTATGGTTCAAATTACACTCATATATAGCAGCTACAATTAGGATTTGGGAATTAGTTAGATAATTATTTTTTAATTCTGCATTTAAGGGAAAACCTAAAAGTTATTTAACATAATAAGTCAATTTTAAGTAGGTAACACTTTTCCTCTGAAGATGATGTAGTCTATCAATTTGTCTTTATATTTGTAGTAATCTCGCAGTTCTACATAGCATACTCAACGTAAACCTAAAAAACAAACACTGTCAAAAGTTGCATAAACAGAACATGAACAGAACCGTCATCCATCTGTCACGTGTCAGAGACAATTGTCAAACTTATCATTTAAAAAAAAATATACCAAAGTTACAACAATGTTTTCTCTAATTTGCAGTACTCGTAATTTTAAATTTCCTTTTACAAATTATAATATTAGTTCTTTCTTAGGAAGTCTATCCAAAAATACTTGATTCATCGTGAATGGAATTTTGCCAGCAAATTAAGCAATTTCTGGACGACCTTTGCGAAAAAGTAGATGGATACATACAAGAAACAGTGTCATTTGCTCAGATCATTTCAGGACCTCTGACTTTTAAACGTTGACGAACAATAGAAGGATGGAACAGTAATACGAGTATTGTTGTAATTATAAATAAAATCCTTTCTATATTAATATCCACCTTTGTATCACTTTTTAAACCTGATTTTCCTAACGATAAGATAAAGCAATATCGATAGTTGTTACAGGCACGGTTGTTTGCAACATGTCAATGTAGTGCGTGACTATTACACTGTTATTACTCAGAATGTGTATATGTTTGTGTGTGTGAAATTGTTAATGTGCTGTTTTAATTGTCACTAGCTTTTTCCCGTGGCTCCACCCGCGTATATGTCGGTGATCGCTGTAAGAAGTAGCGTATGTCTTTCCTCAAGAATTAAAGTATGTCCGTACCAAATTTTATTAAAATCGGTTCAGTGGCTATTGATGCCACATACAAACTTCCACCCCCTTAAAGGATGATTTATTGGATAAAAACTACCTACCTACCTACCTTTTATTATGATGTTTCTGCCTCTAGAGTAGAAGAAAAACTACTTTTACAGTTGGCAACATTGTATATACTTGAAAAAGTTGAAAAAAAAAACAAAACCAAATATCAATTTTTGAAGTGTGTAGGATTATCGCGTGGTTTTGTGTTTAGTTTGTTTCCAGACAAATATATCATTATTTATCACAGAACGTTTAATTTGCTCAGTTAATACAGTCTTTCTATGTTTATTGTGGCAAGAGGCGGTAAAAAAATGAATCATGGTGAATGTTATGAAAGGTGTTCTCGTAGAATGGTAGGTGTAAGGAAGTTCTTCACAAATATAATTAGATAAATATTTAAATAATGAATATATTACTTATTTCCTTGTAATAATAAACGACTTAGTAAATTACATCCCACATGCTTATTATTCCATGTAATCTAAATCAGCAGGGATATTAAAACTCTGTTCAATAGTAGCATTGTCCATATGAAACGTATTTTTTATGTAAGATTTCAATGTAAAGATATTCTCAGTCCATCTGTTGATAGCCATTTTTAAATCCTGAAATAAAAAATAACATATGACATAACGTCAGGTAAAGATTAAATTACATCTTAAGGAACTTACCCGACACTCTGTCTTCAACTGGCTTATATATTCCGGATCTGAGTCTCTGTATTTCTGCATCTCTTTCTTAAGTCTTTCCTCTTTCTTTTCTAGATCGTGAAACATTAATAATAATTGTGTTCTCTCTTCACATTCTACTCTGTTAGCCTGGCGAAGAATAAATTTTGTTATTTATTGGTTTTAATACATCTTAAATAAGCAAAATAGGTATATGCAGAAACTTAGGTAACATTTTTAAGTTAACAAATTTCTTCAAAGTAATTAATATTTTTCTACTAAATATGTTTGAATTATTATTATATTAGATAAAGAAACTCATACAGATTCCACAGCAATACTGTCTTCTGTCTTTTTCAATTTCTTTGCACACTCCTCTAATTCAGTTTGTAAATCAAGAAATTTTCTTTTCTGGGCATTCTTTGCTTTGCTGTAACAAAAGAGTAAATTTTTATTAAAATTTGACCACTGAAACCACTGTAAAATTTATGTATATAACATGTATATTTTTCAGTAGATTGTAAGATTTATGTGTTTCTTAATAATTATAAAAAAGTTGTTACCTAGGAAAAGACCAAAAGTAAATAGAAGTTCCAATCTTCTCTGAATCAACTAAGTGATCGTCTACCAAACTTTGCACTACCTCCTTCACAGATTGCATTGTAATAGCCTTTTCTTTTGGAGCAATTTTTTCAAGTTCCTAAAATTGTTATAAATCTATAATATACTACTTATATGCTTCTATTAGGATCCAGCAAATATTTGTCTTCTACTTATAATAGCAAGTTTATAAATCTTAAGCTCAAGAATATATTTGAAAAAGATATCCCCAATGAATCTTTGTTATTTATTAAACATTACATCATTAAAAAGTTTCCATACCAATGTTGCTCTTTACCTTCAACTGAAAAAAGTCTTTACTCTGATGAAATATCTCCAACATCCTTATCTTCTTTTCCTCGGCACTTAATCCACGTTTTTTTGACATTTTCTAGTGACCCAGCGATGAAACAGTTTCTGTTGCACTTGGATGAAACCTTAGCACTGGGCAGAAAATTTATACTACAAGACCTGGACGAAACACATTTATTCATTTCAGCAGACATTGTGGAGACACTACAAGCTCGTGTAGATGATTTGATGGACCAACTAAGTATACCAGTACATGACAAAGGACTGTAAAATTAGAAATGACTTCTAGAGAATCTGGCAGAGTCAAAGATGTTGAACGACGGAAAGTTTTGGATGATGCAGCAAGGAAACGAAGAGCTAGAAAGGCTGTGGAGGCGCTGGAGCAGGACAACTTCCATGAGGACCCACATGCTGACTTGGTTATGTCGAAGAAGGTGCCGAAGTTTGCAGATTCTAATGAAAAACCTACAAGGAAGAAAAAATCTAAGAGTGCTGAGTATTATAAAATGCGATTTCGAAAGACATTTGCACAGTTAGTTGAGGAAGATGCCAGTTTTCGACCAGATCCACCCAACTACCTGTCGGCTCAAGTGCCACCTTCTCAGTAAGTATACATATTAGGCAAAATATAAAATAATAAATGTGGGATTAAAAACACATTCAGAATTAATATTGTATTTATATATGTAATTGTAGTAGTAGCACTCCTTGTTGTGCTCACAGTTTGAAGTCATCTGTATTTCACAGTGGATGCCCTATAGAAAAGAGGGAGACAACAAATTAGGTGGTATTTATGTTATACTAAATACTGCAGATATAAATCCCAGCGCAGCCTACCTATGATGACTATTTATTGACACAACCATGTTTATTAAACTTGGAAAACTCAGAATAAAATGTGCTGATAGGAAGGTTCTTAAGTTATTAAATTACACAAATACATATTTATTTGTAATATTCTACTTAATAACCTTCCTGTTAGCAACAATTTATTTATTTAATTTAACAACGAATGGCTACACTATTGTTTGTCGTAAATAAATATAATTTTATAAAATAATGTTTTATCCACTGACTCCAAATGTATGTACTGTTGTTTACAGATTTCCCGATCGACATTTCTGTGCTGTATGTGGTTTCCCATCGAATTACACTTGCATACCTTGTGGGGCACGATACTGCTGCGTCAGATGCCTGGGAACACACTTAGATACCAGATGCCTCAAGTGGACCGCTTGAATAATTTTAGTAAAAATAATAAGAATAAATAATGATTAAGTTTGCATTAGAACTATTTATTTGAATAGGCGCCAAGCCGAAGCAAAAATAGGATTTCCCGCCTAATTTCAAGTATGCCATAGAGCTTTAACTAAATCAAAAAAAAATATAAATATATAAACAAATATACTTTCTATCAATTTATACACTACTAAAAGCATATCTTAATTACATCAAAATACATCCTTAGTTACATCACACAACGATGGTTATGGATTTATTATTACTCAAGGCTCGCATTACCGCCATCTGTTACCTGCTAGCAAGACTAAACTTGCTCTTGTAATGCCATCTGTCTAGAAATACTGTCACTAACAACAGAACAAATGTTATAAATTGTCTCATTAAACATGTAATACGAGAACCTACCAAATTGTATCCACAATTTTTTTTATTTAGTTAGTTACATGACAATATATTAAGCTGTTATGCATAGTTTAAGTTTTTACACGCTTGCCGAGGCTTGGCAACAGTTTACAAGCTCCAAGCCTTTAGAAACGCTTGGATGCCATTTACACGCTAGCGGACAGGCAAACATAGCAGACGTACACATAAGTGAGAGTACCTACTTATTTTTTCAAACTTTTTTATTTCTGTTATTCGAAGTAATCACCCATGCAATCGACGCATTTTTGCCAACGCATTGGCAGTTTATTGATGCCCTTCCTGTGAAAATCAGCTGGACGGGGGCAACAATCTCTTCAAAGGCATTTTGTACTGCCTCTCGGGAATTGAATTTTTTACCCACTAAAAAGTTGTCTAAATTTTGGAAAAAGTAATAGTCGGTAGGTGCAAGGTCAAGTGAGTATGGCGGATGAGGGAGAGCTTCCAACCCCAGCTCTTGCAGCTTGGAGACTGTCTGTTGCGCAGTCGTGAAGGAGCAGTGGGGACGACCAATTGACCAAAGCTGGTTGCAGATGTGCAAGCTTCTCTATCATTCTCTCCAGATATTCACAGTACACATCTGCATTAATGCTCATGCCATTTTGTAAAAAGCTGTGGTGAATCACACCCGCACTAGACCACCAAACAGATGTGCAAGCTTCTCTATCATTCTCTACATATATTCACAGTACACATCTGCATTAATGCTCATGCCATTTTGTAAAAAGCTGTGGTGAATCACACCCGCACTAGACCACCAAACAGTGACCATCACCTTTTTAGGGGTCATTTTTGGTTTAGGGCATTGCCTTGCTGCTGAACCAGGGTCTAACCAACTTGCTGAGCGCTTTCGATTGTCGAACAGAATCAATTTTTCGTCGCACGTAAAGTGCCTGTTGAGCAGCGCAAGGCAGGTCTCGACGCGTACGTTGCGCTGGCGATCGTTAAGGTCGTGGGGCACCCATCTATCAAGCTTTTTTACCTTGCCAATTTGTCGCAAATGGATCAATATTGTTTTGATGCTTACATTAAAAGCTGCTGCTAGCTCAGCTGTAGATTGAGTTTCGTCAGCTTCCACAATAGCCTTTAATTCATTATTGTTAACCAAAGTCTCCGGACGACCACGAACTTCATTTTTCAAGTAAAAATTTCCAGAACGGAACCGGGAAAACCAATAACGGGTTGTGCGTTCGTTTGTACAGTTTTTGATGTTACGTGCCGTTTGTGTCGCGTTGGTGCCATGACGGAACTCATATTCCATAATTACACGAATTTTTAAAGTATCCATTATGACGAAAAATGTTCAAATGTAATGAAAATGCAACGCTAATTAAAAGCTTGCGAGCCATCGGTACGCACAAACACATTTGTGCTCAGGCGTCACACGAAGTCATTCAAACTTTCCACGGTTTTTTTGTTATTCAAAACTATCATCACCGCCCTCTACTACTTAATAGCCATACTAATGTTAATGACATTTCCATTGTAGCGCCATCTATTGAAAAATACTATGGCTGCCACTAAAACCTTAACTATACAGTTTAACATTTTATTGAGATGGCATTAGTGAGGCTGTTTTTAAACTGTTTCTTACTCTAAACGTCAAACGAAAAATCTTACTCTTAAACGTAGTAGCACTCACTTTTTTTCATCACTAGTCACTACTACATTCGCAAAGGCACAACGACTTTAATGATGATATAAGTGACTATGAGTTTTCACGAATTGTGAGCAATTACTTAATTCCTCTCCGTTACAACAATTCTTCTTTACACCGTGTATGAAGCTTTTAATACAACAACATATTTTTTATCACAACATAAACCACAAGTCCGGGCTAAATGCTGTATGACCGCTTTTTAAGATCACTGCATTTACGACATACGACATTGCTTGTAACAACGTACCGGATGAATCGACCAATTTTTGTATGTTAGTAACATAGCATCTGGTACTGGCTAATTATTTTAGAAAAAGTAATTAAAAGCACAAATGTAAATAAAATGCCTAATTTAACATTTGTTGTAATTCTTTGATGAAAAAAAGAGAAATGTAATAAAACCAAAACCAGTATAGTACCTATCACTTCATTCGGTTTTTTAGTTACTTACATGCAGAATTACGGTTCTTGATACCAATTAATTAGCGGTATGAAGCAATTCTTTCGTTGCCTTTCGCTGAGTGAGTGACGTTACCGGCGCCTAAATCTCCTGGATGGACTCGGACTGGAGGGACTCCAAGAGCAGCAACGCACTTGTGACTTTTGAGTTGCAGGTTTCAATGGACGGCGGTAGTAGCTTACCATCAGGTGACCCGTCTGCTCGTTTGGCCCCTAATACCATAAAAAAAACGGATAATGAAGTCAGAAGCATGGAAAACAATATAGCTTCAGAGGCAGTTCTTGAAAACTTTCTAACAATATAGTAGATGATTACGATATGCCTTTGACACAACATTCTTCTATGACTGCATATGATAAAGGGGACACCATTGTTTAAACTCAATGAGTAAAAAAAATACTACTTCCTTCATCTACTTCAGAAGCGAGTTTATTAATGAAGTGATTCTACTTGTGCATGAAATACAAAAGATAATGTATAGCAAGTTCAAGAAAAAAATGAGAAATTGCAATTTAAAGTGCGATCTCTACGTGATACCTCTATCTATCAAATCTAATCTATGTCTAAATTACTGTAATGCTTTAACAGTGCCAAAAAGAGGTTGGTTTTTCCAGTGTATGTGTGTTTATTTCTCTGGCACGCTCTGGAGTCAGAACAGTTTGACGGATTTTGATGTTTCAGGTGTCGTTAGATTCGCCTTAATTGTGAGAGTGACACTGGGAACATTAAAACTATAATCGCCGGTTTGTAAATTTTATTTATACAGTTTCACGCAGTCGAGTTTTTTTTTTAAGTTTTACTTACAGAGATATTATGACTATATACTTATTAACAGACCACAGACCTTAATTTTTACACTACTCCCTCTGCAAGCGCTTGTTCCAACGGCCGTATTCGTACTTGAATGATTGCCCTCAGTTCGAAACTTACCATAAAACGAGGGGTTGCTATATCACGAACCCCGTATTGACACAGAGGCACGTGTTCTGTTATCAGCCAGCACCTGGGATGATAAAAGGCCCTTTTGTGCCACTTACAGATGTCTGATTGCAGCCGACATCCTATTCAAAGGTTTCCGGTAATAATGTTAAATAGGGAAACCGTTCATTTGCAATATTGTGTGCACAAGCTAAATGCTGACGTGTTTCAATATTTAGATACATATTTAACGAAACTACCATCAACTCAGAGGGCCCATGAAGCTTATTTCGCTTCAACTTGTTCTCGATGCAGAACGCGTTGGGCGTGGCGTTTGTTGAAGATTTCAGTACGACTCACCACACCGAACACGGTCACCGTGACGGTCGAGTTGTTGTGAATTAAACTCGCACTAGGCCTTTTGAACTCTTTACGTTCAGTGAGTTGTGACCATGAAATAAACTCATACTAGGTCCCCAGGTTCATGAGTCTTACATAGTGAATAATCTGCTCACCTTACCTTTATATCAGCAATCTTAGGATTCTCTAAGTTGATATTTATAAAATTTTAGAGGGTGCAGAAACCTCTGTCCTTTGTAGCCTCTATCTAACATCAGGCCCGGCGCTTTTCTAGACGCCACGTGCTTTGCGAGTAACCCGTATTTCCCTTCTAAAGAATGTAAGACACCCAGATGATAGACAAACCTGTTGTGCTTGTCTGTAGTGATTCCTACTGACTACTAAGCCAGAGGTGGTTGGTTCGATTCCCAGCCAGGACAAATAACTGTGTGATGTTCTGTCTGGGTGTAATTTATTTATAAATATGTATTTAGAAATTTATAAGTATGTTTATCAGCAGTTTGACTGCCCTGTGTGAAATTTGTGAGGTTATTATTATTTTAATGGCGGTGGGAAGGGACAAAGATTTTTCTTTCAAAACACTTTATAGAGTATTTCCAAACACCTGTAGCAGTATTTCATAGTGCGTTCTGAAGCTCCGAAGAGTTTGTATAAACAACTAAGTTGCCTCTTTTTACGTGTAGAAACACCTCAGGCCGTCAACCCTACGCTCTCTGCGGTGTATCGGAATCGGACCGACTAAAACCACACGGTGTGCTACTCTGCGCCGTAAATAGGCGGTATTCGGGAACAGCTTTACATTCGGAACCCCTCCTATCGCCTGCCCGGGATAGCACAGGCACCACCTTCAGGGAAATTCTCTATTTAGGCTACATCAAATAGCTAAGTTGCCTAGTATAGTCAAGTAATTGTAAGCTGCCACTGGTGTCTACCAACTACAGTAACCGGTGCGATCGTCTATCCGAACTCCTATAATGAAGCCCTAGTGTAATAGTTCATACCCATCATAGCGTCAGCAAGTAGCTAAATAAGAATCCGAATAGGGCTCCATCCGTACCCGAAGCTACAACTCTGCAGTAAGCTTTCCTTGACCAGTTAGAGACTCCAGCTTATAGACTAATAGTAGGGTGTTTTTGAAACCCTCTCATGAAGAGAATGTTAAAAATGAAACAAAAAGTTTTTCCGTGTACTTCGCTTTTTTTATTCATCTGTTCTATTTCTAATAATATATTTGAAATATATATGCACCATCAAAGAGACAATTCATCCCTGTATTTAACTTTTATTTCGTACAAATTTAGGACATGTTACGTAAATATGTGTTTTATTACACAGTTTTATGACAATAAATTGTAAGATAAAATATAAGGTAGCTGCGATGGTTGGAGGCGATTCTTCAATCAGTTATATTTAAGACACAAAATTAAATATGTTTATACGACACTTTAACAAAAAAAAACATTTGTCCTTATTCCATTTTCGAAATAAAAGCTAATTACAAGGTAGGAATACGTTCTTTAATTTTAAAGACAATTCGTTGTCTTTTTTTTATTATCCATTTCAGACTCAACAATGTGACAAACTTATTAACTTAGTATTTTATTTACAATAATAATTGTATCACAATATGTGTTCAAGGCATCTTAACTATAAATATGTAGGACTTACATTTATTACTATGGTATTTACTTTATAAATGTCTTGAGAATGCTGACACTTTTTTAAATTATTAAGTCTAATGTGCTCCCTCCGTAGATTACGGTTTTTTTTTTTAATTTGCACACTGGTCAAGCTGTGTCAGTAGATTACTATATTTTTGCCGTAATGACCATAAGTTAGACAATTTAAAAATCGATTACAGATTTTAGTACGTATACAGAAAATTTAAAAATAAGAGTTCAATTTCATTCAAACGCCCTTAACATTATATAATTTTAAATGTAATGCCTTGATATTCAAAAATATAAAACAAAACAGTCTCTTAAACTATTATTTACAATATTACACAGTAAATATTTACAAAATGCAAAACACTTTTCTTACACTACATAAAAATTATACAGTTTTTCCCTTAACATTATTGACTCGATTGTAATAAATATACTTGTTTTAAAGCCATATACATACATTTTACATTGTGTTATTCTTTATGCCTTACTTAATACTGGACTGAGGAATGGTTAACATTTAACAATTTTTTCTAGAGAGCCAAAATAAATGTCTAGGTATGTATTATTGCTGATCTACAAAGTTTAAATTTTTTTGCCAATCCATAGATAAAGTACACTAAAACAGTTACAACCATAATTTAGAGCGATGTTTGGTATTTTATAGGATAAATGTAAACAGACATGAATTATATGCGCAGAAGTAGATATTCGGAAAGATTAAAACTGTTTAATCTGTTCTTATATTTTTTCCCGGTTTTTAATTCATTTTGAAGTTGTAAATAAGTCCATGCTTTTTATAACAATTAAATGTATGCCAGTCCTGTTTAAATTACTTTATAATAATAGGAATCATCATAACCCGAGATCTGTATCAGGTGAACGGACATGAAATAGGAACATTATAATTTGTACTAGGCTGATTTTTGTTGACTGTATGTGGCGTACAATGGGAGAGGCCTATGAGCAGTGGACTGCGGTAGGATGCTGATGTGCCTTTGTCTTGACATAAGATAGCAATCAGGTTTATAAGAAATTGGCGAACGATCATTTCAACTACATGACAATTCAAGATTCTTTTTTTTATTGTGCGAATAAGTGATAAGGCCGCGTATTAAACAGACAGGTTATATATATAAAAAAAGTTAAGATGGTACTCGCTGAACCAATGGAGTGATGGTGCAGTTCAGCCAATTTAAACTATGTCTGGGCGTGTACATACACAATTACACGCACACACCGAGACTACGCCTTGTCTGTCAAAATGTCATCAATATTTACAAGTAAAAATCAAACTACAAGAGAATATAGATAGTAGGATGGAATTGCATTTCACACTTAAGTGAACGTAGATACCAATATTTTCAATAAAATGATGGCAGCACTGGCCCATGCACACATAAAACCCCATAAAACCGGCATCACTCCGTTCTTCGCAAAGTTACATCTTAACTTTTTTATTTGATCTGATGTGACAATTAAAAAAAATATTTTATTTAGAATTGCAGAGAAATATGCATACTATTTTCCAGCGGCAATTTTATTTATAACACTAGTAGAAACGCTTTAATGTTTATTATCCTAACCTATGCTTATTAAATGGCGGCGTAACTTTGTTTTCTTTTTAGTAAACTATTTTAGGCCAGTTATAATCTACGAGTCTGAGATTCATGAACATTTTAAATAAAGAATCTTCTGTATGCAGAAGCTTTGCATAGTATTGAAGTGATTTATTAAAATGTGACTTTACGTTTAAGCCTACTTTGACTGAATTCTTTAAAAACTTCAAATTCTATATACCTTATTTTCCATTACCAATATTATTGTCATTTTTGTACTAGTTTAATAGAGCAGATAATAGGCTTTGCAGGACGGTTTTAATTTAAAAATATGCGATCTTAATCGGTTTCTGAAATATGTCACCACAATATTGAGGTAATTCATGAATAAGTATATATTTTTACTTGCTACTGGCAACACTACTTTAAATCTTGCAGGTCATCATATCCACACGTAAATGTCTGATAAATTGTTCGGACAGCTTATATAACTCCATTGAAGGAAATGCGTCCATTGCGGACGACGGCAATCGGTATAACCAGAAACCGACTAAAATTGAGCAAACATTTCTGATCACTCAGTCTATGGTTCAAGGATCATCCTTCTTCTTCCGTAACTTGCCTTCGGTGTGTATCGTATGCGTGACTTGGTCCACTGCTGATGTTAAATCAGCTTCAGGGTCAATAGCAGCAGACAACGCAGCAATGTATGCGCACGCTATCCGCAGAACAGATAACTTGGACAGTTTCTGATTGTGACTGTACGCGGGTACTGAACGCCTTAGAGTATCAAAGGCAGCACTTATGGTATGAACTCTTGTTCTTTCTCTAGCGTTTGCTTCTATTCTCCTCTCTCTGGTCATGTTTTTATAGTTCCTCTGTTCTCGTGGTTTCGTCTTGTCTGTGTAGGCTTCCACGACTCCTGGATGGGGTGGTACTCTAGGAGGGCCAGGTGGTGATTCAACAGGCGGAGGAGGGGGAGGTTCTAACACTCTCCGCCGTTGTCTTAAAACACTTCCTTCTTTCTTTACTAAAGACAGAGGTTCTCTTTGAGGTTCCTCAGTAAAAGACCAGGGCCTGAATGGACTCGCAGGGGTATCACTCTCGGGGCTGGCAATATCTTCTCTGGAGTTTAACCTGATGCGTTTTTTAGGTGGTTGACATCGTGGTGGCGTGCGTGGTCGCTTGACTCTTGAGTCGGACTCCACGAGTCTCACTCCGGAGTCGTCTGAATGAGCTGGGCCGGAGCATGAGTCATCGTCATCACCTCCAGATACGAAGCCAGCATCTCGATCTAAGATGCGATCTGTAACAATGAAAAAATATGTTAAAAACATCTGATGCATTTCAAATACTTCTATTTGCAGTTACCTGTAGCTGGATATACGTCTCAAAGCGTATTTTTTTTTAATATGTGCGAACTAATTTTTTTGTTTGAATCAAGTGAAGAGTTAATTAAATGTTTGCAATAATGACGAAACTATTAACAGTGGGTACTTGTAGAGTATGTGAACTAGCTATAAAACAATTACACGCGAAACCAAATAAAAGTAATCCGATCATACAAGAATCATCCTTCAGGACCTTACACTGAAAGGCGCTTTTCAAATATGCACAATTTATTTATTTGTAAATACTCCCCATATTTTTATTTAGCGAAGTATTGATGCTAAGCAATACTTGTATATTGTAAGCCATTAGGCGCAGCTATGGCGATGGAAGCTGCGTATGCGCACGAAGCAAAAAGGCAACAGACGTACAAACGGCGCCGACGATCGTTACACTGCACATGATGTGACTGGAGTCTTTAAGTGGACCGTGGAGCCATGAGGTCACGGAAGACTATCAGGAGAAAATTTGTTGACTTTCAAAGAAAAACACAAGATTTATATTCTCTACAGATTACTATGTAAAAATATATTAATTAATCTAGTGAAATTTGCAAAAGGCTGACTTTTTAAGCTGTCATGTCCCAAGTTCGAATTTTGAAAGTAATTGTACGTTAAATAGCGTAAGTAAGAATATTTAAATTTTTCAAAGTTAAAAGCCAAAAAATAACAATTGTGTATTATACAATGATAATATCTAATTTCAATAATGTCAGAGGTTATTTTAATATATTTTTCAGACAAACTTGTGTTTTCTACTCTACTGTGTCTACAACTTGACAAGAAGAAAATAGCTTCTCAACCGATTAGTCGATTCACAATTCAGTTTTTATTTATAATTAATTTCACATATTTATTTAGTATTTTTATAGTAGTTATTAGCCATATATATGTATATCCCATACCTTGTTAAAGATAATATTTAGTTATATGTTATAGGCGTTTTTGCGACTGTTTTCATAGCCATACAATATGTATGGGGGACAGAGACACGTAGTGCTTGGTCGTCACTAAAGGATCTAATAGCGGACTGTGAATATAAATAAACGATAATTAATTAATACAGCCTTATTTATAGACTCGATGTAGTCGCATATACGCAACATACTGTGATTTGTACTTATAAAATACTTAGTGCATCTTTAAATTTTAGACTGGCAAAAAAAAGATCATGTCAAAAAGTTCAAAAAAAGGTCAAAAAAAATACAGGCAAGCCGCACAGTAGCAGAATTAGATGTGTTACATCTGATAGGTGAGTTCATTGGTCAAATCAAGTAGTGTACGGCTTCCTCGGCTTCCTGTCACTATGTCTGTCAGTGTCAGTGTTGTGACAGATTAAGAATACGTGTCACCACCCCTATTCATCCCGCGGCTGTCGTAAGAGCCGACTAAGTGAGCCAACTACGCAGGACATCAGCACTGCAAAAAGAAGGAAAACTTGTAACAAACCCTATCCAACCCGTCTGGCCAGTTGAGTATAGGAGGCCAAGACCTGCCTTCTAAGGAGAGGCCTGCTGATATTATTTATATGTCTATAATATTAGCGATGGTGTGAAGGTAACACAATTTTGTAATTATGTGTTATTTTAAAATTAATGTTACGTGGTGTTTGTCTATAAATGTAGTCGAGTATTGTAAGAATTGACAAGCCAATGTAACGTATGCTAAAGGTAAAGGCAATGACTTGGCGCCAACTTGTAGTTAGATTTAGTTTTAAGGGTAATAATCTTAAAAAAGATTGCCAGTTACTTAAGGCAGGTTATAGGACAGGGGCGGATCCAGGATCCTTTCTGGAACCTCTCCCCTTTCTTGGGCTGGGTCTTTGTTGTAAGATTTCAAGTAGGTTATCAAATAAGAACTTGTCTTGAACCCTGACTGCACAAAACCACAAAAATACCCCTAACTCATAGGGACCATAAGATAAAAGCTGGATCCACTTCTGTCTGGTTAAGAAACGCTTGTAGGTATCGGAGCAGTTAACATACAAAATATCCTCGTGACAAAGCTAGTTATAGAATATATCCAACATCTGCAGAGGATAAAATTACATACAACTATTTATCGCCAAAAATAGAATATTTTATTGTTTTACGGTGGTATAATTTCCTCGGAAATTCCCAGAAAGACTTAAATTCACACTGAATTTAATATAATCGATAACGAAGAGATAAAATGAGAAACAACTTTTTTTTTTATAATAAAATCATATGGGTAGGACAAGGTTAAGCACGTCGACCAGTCGCTTGGCGCCGGCGCTTGCGCACGTGACGTCATATAACAGTACACACGAGATCAGGTGAGCTTAGGTTAAATTTCGAGATATTTTCTTGTAAAAAATGAATGTTCTTTTATTTTATTAATATTATCTCCCTAATTTATCATAAATTAGGGAGATAATATTATTTTCACCAAACGATACCGATTAATAGTAATAAATACTGTTTAGAAAACAAATATATAAAATCACAACATCACACACACACATCAACAGCCTATACTAGTCCATTGCTGGATATAGGCCTCTCCTTAGAAAGGAGGTTAAAAACACAACGAAACACATAAAATGTAGTATGAGCGGTCTCATCACAAGAAGCGCTGTCTTCTAGTGGCACACTTTTTATGGACAATTTAAAAAAGCTTGGGTGTCTATGAGTTGATTACATAATGATTGATTACATGAATTAACACAAGTAGGCTGTCTCACAAGCCATGCTAATGAAAAAAAGGCTAAATTAAATGTCATTCAAGTGTTCACCCTAAGGTGTAAGTTCACACAATGTGTGCAATAGTAAACAAAATTGTTTCAAACGACGCGGCGACGCAACGTTTTGTCTGTTAATGAATCACGTTACAATTATATCTTTATACACCTTATAATTTAAACATAGTCGTCATCACACGCTTATAACATATACCTATTCATAATTTTCTCCATTGAAAGTAAAAGGATTAAGGGAACATTACAAAAGCAATAGTTTATGTTATGTATATTGTTTTTTTACAAAAAAATAAAATTTACTGATAAGATACCTAAGTTAAAATCCTTATAGGCTTATAATTTTTGACAAGGAGCGATGATGGCATAACAGTTTTAATAAATTATTTTATAAAAATCAAAATTTAATTAAGTCCAATCAGAAATAATAATGAAACAGTCAATGAAAGCATTATTTAAGCGGTAGGTACGCTAAGTAGTTTAAGTGCATCTTATTACTATATAGTTGTAAATGCGAATGTTTGAATAGTTGTTATGTTACTCAATCACGCCAGAACGGCTAAACTTCTCTGGATTAAATTTAGAACAGAGATAGATTATCTGAAATAGCATATAGGCTTGATTGTGCATGCAAAGTGCATGCAAAAATTAGTAGAACGTAATTCCTGCTTCTACTAAGCGTCTGGTTAATCTCTAGATAGTGGAATTTAAAAATATCTGCGTATCTACTATCTCGTGTGCGTCTAACAATATTGTGTTGGTATGCATGTATTTATTAACAATATGAAACAGGTTTTAGTCCATATGGGCAGGCGCGGCGCCGATTGTTATTTTATCATATTATTTTACATGGTCCGCATTCCATACTAAAATATTCGTAAATATATATGTATATTATTATGTTTCACGAATAAACGATTTACATTTTTGTATAGATTGTGGTTTTCCCAAATGTTTGTATCAAACGTGAAATTGGAATTGAAATTAAATTGTTGGTAAATTTTAGTGGAATGTTTTCTTAATTGTTCCCGCCATTTAACCATAAACAACCAATAATTTTATGTATGTGTATAACTAAACCTAGTAAGTGTAGTAACCTAGTAAGTAAGTAAAGTGCCGTAACTTAGGTTTTGACCTGAAAAACAGAATTAATTTTGTAATCAATAAAATCAAACTAAACCAAGTAACGTAACTGGGCATTTCTGTGATTATTGGAAAGTTATTAGTATCTACCGGTACTGTGGGAGATATAAAGACCTAATAATATCAAAGTATTAAGAATATGATAGAAATCAAACTTCTTAAACCCTTTACTGTAAATTAATTCAACGGGATAGCCACTCAAGAAAACAGTCTATTTTAGGCGCCAGCACCTGTCAAATGCATGTCACGTGACAAAGCTTTCCAAATTCAAATATATAGTAATGACATCCGTAGACCTTACACGCCGACTGTCCGACGCTAGTGAAGTGAATACTTACTAATACGTATAATCGTACATTCTTAATGGGCTTGCTACCGGAATTAGTTTATTGCTCATAATCGGGTGGCCACGGCGCCGGAGAGGCGTTCCAACTTAACAATATAATTTACCGTCTAATACGAGAAACGTAAGCGATTTTGAACTTTATTACCAGTCCGTTATATGTGAATGGCATGTCGATTGATTGTAGGTAAACATTGTAACTCGCCTAAGTCGAGCTCACGAAGCTTCTCACACTACAGGTGTTTTTATACCAATAAAAAAGATTGGATAGAACTTAGACAGCACCGCCTACGTTTGGTAGAGGTTTTAATCGTTATTCTGAATCTCTTTGTGTTTCTCAGATAAATATAGATGAGAGTTCATATTTAATGTTTGTTCCAAATTTCCGTTTAAGTAAATTGTAAACTTTATAATATGGTAGGTATGTTATAATTTTCACCAAATTTGATTTGAGATTTCTATTAGTTAGTTTAAATTTCTATTGTTGATCCAAAAAGAATTTCCAAATTGTTAATCCAAAAATATGATAATATACTTGAAATAGATCATTAATTTCTATACATAGGTTTTTTATTCAAAATATCATTAGAAATTCAAAAATTATATTCGAAATAACTTTAGATGAGTCCGTAACTAAAGCATTAATAAAGTATTAGGTAATATAAATATTTTTTATGTAAAAAAGGAACTAGGTAAACTTCTGCAAAATGGGAACG